ATTTGTGCTCACCACACACACACACACACACACACAACATGCACATATGTTTTTCCTTTGCTGTTGTCCTATTGCGCTGGATCAAATCAGAGAGTGGAATGTGTTAGAGTAAAAGCCTGGGTGACTGGGGTGAGGAAACACTAGCTGGTGGGAGGAACCTCATCTGTGGAAACATGTTCCACTGCTTACCTAGCAGCGTGGCCTAATGGAGCAAATTATCCCATCTTTCTCACCTTCCATTTCTGCATCTGTAAGATGGCAATAATAATAGTCCCTACCTCCTAGAGCATTGGGGGAATTGTTGGAGATGTCTGATCTATCTTAACAAATAGCTGTTATTCTTAATTAATTCATCTGATCCTCATCTCCAGAACTTGCCTCTGTGCCAGACCCTGTGATTTGGGCTGGGGTGAGGAGTCCAGAAATACAATAGATGCCCTTTCTGCCCTTAGGAAGCTCAGTCTTGTGAGGGAGAAAGATGTGCCATCACACTGCTCTAACTCAGGTGCCAGAATTGAGAAAAATCCATGGGAGGTGCTTTGTGTTCAGTAAATGGTAGCTATTGTTGTTGTCACCATCATTTCTGTGACCCGAGTGTAGTTATAAGGAACCTGGAGAGGGGAGAGATGCCTTCTTAGAAATGTCCTAGGAGGTATAAGCTGAACTACGGTAGGTCTTTATGGAGAGGGAAGAATTAGACATGTGAAGGGGGAGGGAGGGAAATGGTATTTCAGGTGGGGTCCCAGCCAGAGCAAAGGCATGGGTGTGACAAGAGGGAATGGCATTGCTGGGGGCTGAGGAAGAGGAGGGCATCAGACTGGAGGGGTGGGCAGAGGACAGACTGGGAAGGTCTTGTAGACTTGCTGATGGCCAGTGGGCTGGGGGAGTTGTCTCTCTTGTCTTCAGTTAATAAAGACTTGTGCATCAAAAACTCTGGGATCAGCAATAATTAAATCAATTAAAATGTCACCACATTAACAGCAGTGAGTGAGCTAAAGCAACAAAGCCCTAGAATTTGGTGGGGGAGGGGCAACCCCATAGGGGTGGAAGAAGGGGTGGATCAAACTACTTCTAAACTCTGTTCCCTCTTTCCCACCTGTTTTGGAGCCTGGCTCATCCCCACATCCACTGGAACACAAGGACAACCCTCCCCATCACCATCCTCCAAAAAGGAAAGAAAGGATATAAGCGTGAAAATCACCTGTAATCCCATCTGCTATCTCCCTGAGATAACGCCTGTTAACTTGGCAGGGTATAACCTTCCAGGCTTTTCCCCCCAATGCATTTTCATACATACATTACAAAAATGGGATCAAATCATGCATACTGTTACCTATTTCTTCCACTCAACAATATATTGTGAGCATCAGCACATACGGATACACATCATTGTCTTAAACTGTGCACCGTATCCCACTGCCGGCACGGCTGTCCCTCATCTTCTGAACTAACCCTCTCTCAGTGGACAGCGAGGTTTCCAATTGTTCGCCATCATAAGCAGAGCTGTGATAAATATTCCTGTACACGTATCTCTGCATACTTGAAGGAGAAATTTCTGGAAATGGAATTGTTGAACCAAACGATGCTCTCTCTAAAGGCTTTTGATGCAGGAACTAAAGAGCTCCTTTGTCAGCCAGGTAGGGTAGGGACCATTTCCCACCCCCTCACCCCTGCTAGATAACATTGGGTAATAATTTTTCTTCATATTTGCTCATCAGATTGGTGAAAACACCTTATGATTTCTATTTTTATGTGTTTGGTTACAAGTAAGGCTGTGCTTTTTGTCATATGTCAGATGGCTATTTGTGTTTCTTGCTTAATAAGGTGTCTACTTACTTAGCCGTCTTTTATTTAAGATGATTATGTTTTTGCTTCTATATAAGAGCTCTTTATATATTATAAATGGTCTCTTATTTTTATTTGTGCTATTACATTTTAATCAATTTTGGCATGTCATTTATAGGTTAATATTTTTTAAAGTTTATTGATTATGGTGTATCCTATTATGTAATTTTAAAAATTGATCTTAGAGAGAGGGATAGAAAGGAAGAGAGAGAAAGAGAGAGAGAAAGAGAACAAGAGAGAGAGAGAGATGTGAGAGAGAAACATTAATAATTTGCCTCTGGTACGTGCCCTGACCAGGGGTCGAACCTGAAACCTAAGTTTGTACCCTGACTGGAATCAAAACCGAAACCTTTGGATGTTCCAACCAATTGAGCCCCCAACCAGGGCTATTATACAATGTTTAAATACATTATGTTGCCATGTTTGTCATTCTATTCTCTTAGATCTCTGCTGGGGAGGGGGTCATATTTATGGTGCATAGAGTGGGCTTCCTCAAGTAAGTGTTTTGGTAGCTGTTATGTGTGAGCGTTGACTCAGAAATCTGTAAATCTATTCCTCAGCTCCTGACTTGTGCGTCCAACTGCCAATTCAATATTCTTACTTGGAAGTTGGATCTATATTTCACACTTACTATGTTCCCTTAAAAACTTGATTTCTGTTTCCCCCTCCAGATCCCCTTCTCCCTCAATAGTCCTGATTTGAGAATTGACCCATCTTCATTCAGTTGCTCAGGCCAAAAGCTTGAGCCATCCTTTTTTGTCCTGTTTTTTACTTTATAACTAACCTATCAACTATCATGTCGATTCTGCCTTCAAAATACGTCATGAATCTGAACACTTCTCACCACCTCCACCTCCTCCTACACTGCCCTTCAGGTACCTCCATGGCTGCTGGCCTGGACTTCTGCAAGGGCTTGGTCTCTCTGCTCTTCTTCTTCTTGACCCTCTGCAGTCTGTTCCCTGTACAGCAGCCACAATGAGCTTTTAACAACAAATTGGATCATGTTACTCCCTATTCAAGACCCTCCAGGAGCTTCCATCACACTCAGGATAGAATTCAAACGCCTTACAATGGGCCGTGAGCCCTCCGAGATCTGGCCCCCTTCTCTCCCTCCAGCCTCTCTCTTGCCCTAGCTCCCGCCTTCTCTCTGCTCCAGCCCCCTGATTTTCTTGCTGCTCCACACACGCAACTAGCTGTTCACATCTCAGGACCTTTGTCCTTGTTGTTCCTTCTGCCTGGAAAGCCTTTCCTCCAGAGCTGCTCATGGCTTCCTTCAAATAGCAGCGAACCTTTCCCTGAACATATATCCTAAAATAATCTTCTCTTTTTCTTTTTAATCCTCACCTTGAAGATATGTTTATTAATTTTAGAGAGAGGAAGGGAGAGAGAAAGAAACATTAATGTGAGAGAGAAATCTCAATCGGCTACCTCTCTCACACACCCTGACTGGGTACCAATCCCACAACCCAGGTATGTGCCCTGACCGGGAATAGAATTCACAGCCTTTTGGGTGTTTGGGGATGATGTGCCAACCCACTGAGCCACCCAGCTGGGGCTTGCTTTTTCTCTTTGTTATCCTCCTCCTCTGCCTTATATTTCTTCGGAGCACTATTGCGGGCTGACATTACCACGTCTTTTATTTGTTGTCATATAGCCTCCCCATCCTTTGGAATGTAAATTCCACAAAGGCAGGGGCTTTGTTTGGTACTTATTAGATGGCTGCTTAATAAATATTTGTTGAATGAACATGTGTAATATGTGAATGGGTGTATGTGTGTGATGTTCGTGTGTAGATATACCTGCTGCATGGATAGATGTCTCTGAGAATGTCTGTGAGCGGCACTGTGGGAATAATGACATTGAATTTGTGACTTTTGTGTGTGAATGACTGTTTCTGTGAATGCCTTTCAAAGAACATCGGTATATGTGTGTTTGTGTATGAAATGTATGTGTGCTTATCTGTGTGTGTTTGCGCACACATGCTGCAGATGTTTGGTTCTGGGTAGGCTGTGTCTATTTCAGTGAGGGTGGGGAGCTGGGACACCTGGCTACATTCTTCCTCTTATCACATGGACCTTCCATTGCCTCAACCTTTCCTTCTCCCACCACACTACAGAAACAGGAACCATCTTTGTGCCTTTGGGAATCTACAGATATTGGGCCATATTCCAAAGATGACATCTTAGACAGACACAGGGTAGGTGCTCAGATGAGGACTGGAGGAGAGTCTGGAGGAGACCAGGGCTGATGGGACCTGGGCAGCCTCATGTTGATCTGAACCATCTCGGTAGGAGGGTTGTATTCGCTGATGAACTGGCCACTAAAGAATGAGGTTGAAGCAGTGGGGATGGGAAAGGCCCCAAATTGGCTGTGTGGTTTGACATGTCACTGCTCTTTCTTTCTTTAAGCCTCAGTAGATTCATCTGTAAATGGGGTTCATTGTTCTTGGTTTGCTTGCTTCTTGGGAGTATGGTGAGAACGAAGGGAGGTAATGGTAGTGAATGTATAATATATAATAGTCATAACAACAGTGTTCTTATATAACACATTAGAGTTACATCAGAGCAAATGCCTCAAGGTCCCCAATTCAGCTCTGGACTTGGCCCCATGTAGGCCTCAGTGAATGTTTGTTGAATGAATCGATGAATGTTCAAATGAGTAAGTGCCTAGATGGGTAAGTGGGGAAGTGATTGCATAAAACAGCAAATAGGTTGTCAAATCACAATGAGTCCCATTTCTGAGCACATCCTGCCTGCCAGGCCCTATTGTAAAAGCTTCTCTTAATCTTTGTAACAACCCCATGAGATCAGTATGTTATGAGCCCCATTTTGTAGATGGAGGAACTGAGGGTCAGAGAAGTTAAGTGATTTAAGTGAGATTCCAGGCCATGGAGTCTGATTACAGAGCCTAGAGCATTAAACCCTGCACAAGCCTTGCTGAGTAAATCAATGAATGAATGGGTGAATGAAGAAATAAGTACAGGAACTCTCACACTCTTAGACACAGGCAAGATGGGCCACTTCCGGATGGGTGGCAGAACCTCTTGGGGGTGATGTGGATGTCCAAGGTCTGGGCTGGGGGTTGTTGTGTCTCTCCCAGAGTAGTGTGTGACACCCTGCCTCATGTCACCTCTCCCTCTTTCCTGTTTGCAGGCACATGCCGCGATGCAGCACTACGGGGTGAATGGCTACTCGCTGCATGCCATGAACTCACTCAGTGCCATGTACAACCTGCACCAGCAGGCGGCCCAGCAGGCCCAGCATGCCCCGGACTACCGGCCATCAGTGCATGCACTTACACTGGCTGAGCGCCTGGCTGGTAAGAGCTGTGGGGATGGGACTAGGAAAATTGGGAGTGGTGGAGAGTACTAGTGGAGGAGACTCTGGAAGGCAGAGATAGGAGGGAGGGAGCACTGGGAAAGTTTTCTCTGAGAAGTTTGAGAAGATCCAGGTCACTTAGCAACAGAGAGGGATGTCAATTCAAAATCTAGGTGAGGCTATCCAGAGCACCTCTAGGTGTGGTTGCCAGCACTGTGCTGGGCGCTGGAGTGGCCCTATGCCTTCAAATTCCCTTAACAACCCAGAGAGGGATTCATTAGCTGGTCTCACAGATGAAGAGACTTAGGTAGGAGGGTAAGAGACTAGCCCAGAGTTTTACAGCCAGGAAGTAGCTGGAGTGTCCAGAGGAGAAAGGATATTTCAGGAAATCATATAAATATGAGGGTTCCCATGTTTCATATACCTATGTGCCAAGCACTGTGTGAATTTCTCTCTGTGTCTCTCTCTTTCTCTCTCCCTCCCTCTCTCTCTCTCTCTCTCTCTTTCTCTTTCTTTCTCTCTCTCTCTCTCTCTCTCTCTCTCTCTCTCTCTCTCTCTCTTTCTCTCTCTCTAACCCCCCCTCTCTCTTCAATCCTGATAAGGAGAGGTTATTATATCAAATTTGTGGATATGGAAACTGAGGCTCATACAGGTTACATTTAGGCAGAGGTGGGGCAGAGGGTTGGAACATAACATATGGCTAAAATTATGGGCTCTGAAGTCACAGACTTCACTTACCCTTGCAGTCATTGCAGGGTCTGCCCACTCACCTGTCTTTCCGGATCCTCGGTTTCCCCTTTGTAAACAGAGGGCAATGGCAGTGATCATCCATAGGATGTCTGGGAAGTTACTTGAGATAACTTATGCAAAATATTCAGTAAGTGCTCAGAAGCCATTATTACCCAAGTCCCAAGGTCAGTGCTCATGAAGGGCTACAGCATGGTCCCTCCGACCACAGCCCCGGGTAAAATTGATCGTTGCCCTGTCCTGACAGCCTCTGCGTGGGCATGGAAGGACTTGATGGCACAGGTGAGGAGTGTGATTTATGGGAGGTGACGTCACCCCCTTCCTGTCCCAGGTCAAACCTTAAGGAGCTGTTGACTACACGTGGCCCCATCCCTGTGCCAGGCAATGCTCAGAGGATTCATGGGCACCCCTAAGGAGGCAAGGTGCCTATTGACCCAGGAGAAATGTGGCCAGGACCAAGTGGTAGGGCTGCTCAGAGCAATATGACCAGCTGCTGTAGTCAGGAAATGCTTCCTAAAGGTCATGGAGCAGGAGCCAGGCCTTAAAAGGTGAAGGAGCAGAACTCGCATGAACATAGGCCCAGAAATGAGGTGGGATAGAGGACCCTGCCTGCATAGAGGTGCGATCTTGGACCCTGCCAGGACCCAGAAAGGAGGAGTCGGGATGGAGGCCACCTCTTCTGGGGAAAAGGGCACCGAAGAACTGGAAGATTCAGTGTTCCCCCAATTACCTAATTCTTGAGCAAGAGGGACATGAGCTCCAGAGGGGCCTTTGTATGGAGGTCTGGGCTTCCAGCAGGAGGTTGCCTGGCCTCAAAGGCTGTGACCACCTGCCCCTGTCATCCCTAGAGCCAGAAACAGGATACTGGGCTGTTGTTTCTCAAACAGGGCCTGGCTGCCAAGGGATCACCACTCATCCCCCACCCCAGGGTGACCAGCGTGAGCTCAGGGCTCAGTCCAGGCTGGTATTAGTGTTGGTGGGGTGGGGGTGGGGGCGTTCAGGGCTTCATCTTTAAAGTGAAGAAGGAGCAGCCCAAAGTCCAAGGCTTCCTGGACACCCAATTGCCTCCTCCCTGATCAAGAGTGTTGTGAGTGACTCTCCAGTTCCTGGAGCTCAGGGCTGGCAACTCAGGTTTTCTTCAGCACAGGCAGGTGATGGGAGGCTGGGGAGAGAGGCTCCTGCCCATCCTGCAGCGATGAGTTAGGCAGAAGGGCTGGAGGCTGGACACCAGCCTAGGCAGGCATCTATCCCGGGTGGTTTCCTTAAATCAATAGTGCTCCACCCTATCTCCCCTCCAAGCCTGCAGTGGTTAGAACCTGGTCTCTGTCCTCTCCTCCTCGAGGAAACACCCCAAAGGGTCAAAACTGTGCTCTCAGGGCCCTGCCAGGGGCCAGGCTTTCTCTGGCTGAGACATCAAACCCCCCCTTCAGAGACTCACAGGCCAGCTGGAACGATGAGGTTCCCACCAGCAGAGATGGAGCCAAGGGCCAGAGGATACCGTCTACCCAGCAGACCTCTCCCATCCAGACCTTGCAGAAAAGTCCCAGCTCACAGCCAGACTTCTCCTGGTCAGGGGCCAGGGTTCTGTTGGCATTCAGACTCTCAGAGTCATAGGGCATCATAGGACATTAGAAACTCTGTGACATGGACTCACCGATCATTAGCATCATGTCGATTCAGAATATTATACCCTAAGTATCCTGGGACTTGACGGATCTTAGGGCAATGCCCACCCACCACCTCAACCACATTCCTGACAGCTGTTCATGGCGATGCGTTAGACCTCGGTGGACCTGATAGTGAGTGATGGGTACACAAACTTGAAACCCCAGTCCTATGGAGAAGGGAGGGGTGCTTTCCAAGAGGAAAGGGCCAGGGTTCAGCTCTGGCAGGAGCTTGCGGGTCTGCAGCGGGTCAGAGCAGAGCAGAATTTAAAACCTATTTCCCATAATTAAATGGGCCCCCTCTCCTTGTCCTCCAACGGCTGTACATTTCAAGACATCATCTTGGAGGCCCGTTATGGCTCCCAGCACCGCAAACAGCGTCGCAGTCGCACGGCATTCACTGCTCAGCAGCTCGAGGCCCTGGAGAAGACCTTCCAGAAGACTCACTACCCAGATGTGGTGATGCGTGAGAGGCTGGCCATGTGCACCAACCTGCCTGAGGCCCGGGTGCAGGTAGGGCCCCGCCCCTTCAACTAGACCTTGCAGACAAGCTCCAGCCCATCAGTCTGGCTTTTCATTGTCCAGGAGCCAGCAGCTCAGCCCTCAGTGCCAGAGTTCCTGCTGTCTCCGTGAACATCTTCCGTGACAGCAGGGGCATTTAGAAGGGATGGAGGGTGTGTTTCCTAGTGGGACAGGGACAATATTGTGTTTCCTAGTGGGGCAGGGCATATCTCTGCCCAGAGCACCCACTCTACAGTTCCCCTTCCTCCCTCCCCCTCCTCTGGCTCCTCTCCCTGTCCCCAGGTGTGGTTCAAGAACCGCAGGGCCAAGTTTCGGAAGAAGCAGCGCAGCTTGCAGAAAGAGCAGCTCCAGAAGCAGAAAGAGGCTGAGGGCTCCCATGGGGAAGGCAAGGCTGAGGCCTCAACCCCAGACGGCCAGCTGGAGACCGAGCAGCCCCCCAGCCTGCCCACCGGTGACCCCCCTACTGAGATGAACCTGAGCCTGTCAGAGCAGTCGGCCAGTGAGTCAGCCCCTGAGGACCAGGCAGACCGGGAGGAGGACCCCCGGGCAGGGGCTGAAGATCCCAAAATTGAGAAGAGCTCTGGGGCTGACAGCAAGGCGCTGGCCTGCAAGAGGGCCAGCCCCAAGGCAGGTGAGGCTGGAGGTGCTGTGCGTGGGCAGGGCCCCCCAGGGAGAACCGCCAGACAGGGGCCTGGGTATATGAGGTGGGTCAGAGCAGGGGGTAGTTAGTCAGCCTTTACCACAATGCACTTGGGCCTATGTCAGGTGGTCACTCTTTAGTTGCTGAACTGTGGGAAGGTCTTGGAGATTCAGAGGGAGGGGCTGGGTGGCAAGGGAGGGGTACTTGGGGGAACTCAGGGCAAAAGCTATTTGTCAACCATTCTGGAGACATTCCTGTATTTTAACAACCAGTATAGATGTGCCTGTGCATATTGGGTGAGGACCATATTGGTACCTGAGATTCCCACATGTAGCAGAGACTCAGAGCCATGGTTTTTAAGGAACAGAGCTCTGGCAGGAGGCACAGGCAGGGCAGGATGGGGCTGGGAGCTGAGAGCTGAGAGCTAGAGGGAGCCACTGACAGGAGAGGGGAAGCAGGTGACGGCCCTTTAAAAAAAAGGGGGGGGGTTCTTTCCAAGAAACAACACGTGGGAGCCCTGGCAGGGTCCCTGGGGCTCCTTCAGGAAGCCTGGGCTCCTGAGGGATGCCTCAGGGGGTGTCCTGGCTGACATGGGGGAATATGGTTTCAACCAAAGCCTGTTTTCCCATCAGTGCCAAGGGGCTGGGAAAGCGAGGGGGCCATCATCCTTGTCCTGAGTCCTTGGTTCTCTCCTTGCAGATTCCCCAGGTGGCCTGGCCCTGGCTCCTGCAGCTCCGGGGGGCAGCCTCCTGGGCCCCTCCCACTCTTACTCCTCATCCCCCCTGAGCCTCTTCCGTCTGCAGGAGCAATTCCGCCAGCACATGGCAGCCACCAACAACCTGGTGCACTACTCGTCCTTCGAAGTAGGGGGCCCGGCCCCTGCTGCTGCTGCTGCTGCTGCAGCCGCCGCCGTACCCTATCTGGGCGTCAACATGGCTCCCCTGGGCTCACTGCACTGCCAGTCATACTACCAGTCCCTGTCAGCAGCCGCCGCTGCCCACCAGGGTGTGTGGGGGTCCCCACTACTGCCCGCGCCCCCAGCAGGCCTGGCACCTGCCTCAGCTGCCCTGAACAGTAAAACCACGAGCATCGAGAACCTGAGGCTCCGGGCCAAGCAGCATGCAGCCTCCCTGGGACTGGATACCCTGCCCAACTGACTGCTGGCCGCCAGCCCATCCAGGGGTCTTGGGTGCCCCCCCCCAGCCCCAGGGTTATCCCCAGAGTTAACTCAGCAAGCCCAGGGGTCCTGGCTCGGGAATCCTGCTCCCTGCCCCCCTTCCCCAGAGCCCTAACCCTAGGTGAAGCCGCACCCACACACCCTCTGCATGGCCCCGCTTGGATCCCACTGGAGGCTCAGTGGGAGGAGGTGAGAAGCTGGGGTGCCCTGAGGGAGAGCGAGAGGCTCTCGCTGACTGGGGCCCCACCTTAGTGTTGCCTCCTCCCTTCCCTCCTCCCATGCCTCCTGCCCCCTAGTGAGTTGATGTGTGGAATGTGAGATATAAATATAAATATATAAAACTATATTTTCAGGCACTTGCCTGGCCCAGGCCCCCCACCCGCTCTTCTCAGCCACCTTTGCCTCCACCTGCAGCTCCTGTTTCTCACATTGGCTTTCCCATCTCTCTGTCTCTCTGTCTCTCTCCTTCCCTGACCTCCTCTCCCTGCCTGTCGCCTGGCCCCCAGCCTCTGTCTCCCCGACTCTGCACTTCCCCCATGGCTCTTAGCTCCATCCCCTCTTTCCTTCTTTGGTGCTGGCTGTGTTGGTATCAATTCCCAGGCTGTTTTGTTTGGGATTGTGGCTTTTTAGTTGTAGTGGTGTTGCTTCTACTCTGTTCCTTCCCTGCCTGCCTGTCTCCTCCCCCATAGCACCCTCTCAGGGCAGCTGGAGGCGATCAGGCCCCAGCTGGAGACCCTGTAACCACTCCCCTGCTCCCTCATCATCCCCTTCCTGGCATCTAGAAGGGGTAGGGTGCCATGTTCTTCTTCCTCTCTATTCTCAGCTTTGAGGCCCATTCCTAAGATTGAGGAAGAGGAAACTGAGGCAGGAATCAGGCTGGGGTGGGCATCAAGCCCTCCCAGACAGGCCGGCTGCCCCTGCTCATCCAGGACTGCCCACAAGGCTTTAGACCTCTCTGGTGAGACTTCCCTGGTTGGAAGGAGGTGAGAGGGGGAGGAGTGCTCTCAGAGAGAGGTGGTCCCCCTCTGCACACCCTCACCTCCAGGCTCAGCAGTTAGTGTCCATTGCAGGGGTGCGTCTGAGCCAGGAAGGGAGATTGGACTCTAGCTCCTGATCACAGTGAGTGCAAACCACGCAGCAGTGCGTGGTCTCAGGCTTCTATGGTGTCCTGTCCCAGGGTGATCGCTGAAGTAAGGGCTCCTTTCAGCTAGTCCTTGACGTGTTCCCATTTGACTGGGAACTGCTCAGCAAACTCCCTTTCAAAGCACCGTGAACTTGGGCCAGCCATGCCTCTCTGGGCCCGTGCCCTCATCTGGCTTCGATGGGCTGTGCTGTCTCCTCCAGCTCCAGTAGTCTGCATGTCTGTGCTCAGAAGTTTTCAACGACACTCAAAACCACCACAAAACGGCTCAAAAGCACCATGTATGAATTAGAGAATTACAGTTGCCTTGCTGGGGAGCAATGGGTGTTGTACGCACAAGCCTCTCCGGTAGGCACAACTATGGTCTCTGGGCCTCAGTTTCCCAATAAGTATTATGGATTCCTTTAAATCCAGACAATCTGGATTTGATTCTGCTTTTCTTGAGTTCCAGAGCCGGCCTCTGTGGGCACCCCATCTCCATGCCTTTCATAGGGTCTGCGCTCAAGGTCAGGGGGAGGGGGCTGGCTTGCATAGATTCTCAGTCATGAAAGCAGCTAGAGAGCAAGAGGAGAGAGCACCAAGGGTCTTCTACGGGATCAGAGGGTATGGGCTTGGGATGGCCCACTACCACTGGGGACTGAACCCCAACCCTCTACCCACTGAACCCTCCACTCCTTGTTTAGAGAAGTTGCACCTGAAATTCCTAAGGCTTGTCTCCTCTCCCAGTGGAAGGGGGAGGGGGGATCTGTTGGTTTTTTGGTAGGATTGGTCTGCAGAACAGGTGATGTCCATCATCCTTGGAGGTCTGGCAGAGGCAGATGGAGAAGTCTGGGGACGGAAGTGAGAGGGATGGTAGCCTGTGCCAGGAAAGCTGAGTGAGACTGAATAAACAACAGGGAAGGCATGGCTCGCTTTATGAGAATTGGGGCTTAGGGCCTTGGATCCAGACAAGAGTCCTCACCTCCAAAGCAGGTGAAGAGTTCTGAACAGGGGATCAGATGAAGCAGGATCTGGGATCTGGAATTTGGAAGATGAATCCAGCAGCTATAAGAGCACCAGAGCAGGAGACGGGGACAGGAGGTGGCAGAGACTTTAGGAGAAAGGAGAAATTTTTGGTTCATCCCCTGGAATCAGCTCCAGTAAGATGTTTCCAAACCGAACAAAATCTCATCTGGACCAGGGACTGAAGCTCTTTGCCTGTTCTTGGATGCAAATGACTGACTTGGCCTTGGAATCTAATAGCTCTCAACATCACCTCCTCTAGGCAGCCTCCCCTGACCTCTAAGGGATAAGTCCACCCCACAGTCATGTTCTGTCCTGGATGGAGCCAGGCCCACCCAAGGCTCAGCTCAGCTTCCCTCAGATCATTGTCAATGCTTCCTCATTCAGTTGACCCAATTCTACCAGCCCAGAGAAGGCAGGGAAGTGCCTGAGCCTGGGCAGATCTCTACCTAGTTTGGGGGGCCAGCCTCAGGTACTGAAAGCAGCTAGAAAGCAAGAGGAGAGAGCACCGAGGGTCCCCTACAGGATCAGAGGGTGTGGGCTTGGGAAGGCCCACCACCACTGGAGACTGAAGCTGAGTTGGCTGAGTCACCCTGATGCCCTTCCAGGAAAGCCTCATTCCTCACCTCTCCCTTCATTTGTGGGCTCCATTCCTCTGCTTCTTCACCTCCCCAAAGCATGGTCCAGAGGGGCCTGGACCCCCCAACCCCAACTCCACAGCCAGCAGGCTATACAAACTGCTTTCTAAACCAGCTGTTTTGTGACCATTTGTGCTTAGAGGTTGTGCCAGCCTGTGGCAAAAACACTGTGTACCGTATTTATTTATTCTGTTAGTTGAAAAAACAAGACTCAGAACCCCCTTCCCGTCCCTGCCCCCTGCGTAGTGCAGCATGACACTCTATCCCGTGTATCGGTCTGTCTGTCTGACTTCCTGTGACGTTGTGACTCTTTGTCCTACTTGGCTAATAAAAGAGAATCTGGCAGCACAGCCTTTGGTCCAGGTTCATTCCCAGAGATGCCTACAGTGGGCTACGCAGTTGCTGTCTCCAGGTCTGTCACTGCGTGTCCAGCGCTGTGGCCGTGGGGGAAGGAAGCAGGCCTGCCTCACGGGTTGGCCACTCCGCATGGGCCAAGGAGAGAGCTCCGAACCAACTGGCAGCTGCTGTGTCACTCTAGAGTGGTCATGGAAGCGGGGGGACGGGGTGGGAAGGGTTCCACCTACTCTGGGCTGCATGGACCTCACTCACCCAAGCACACGTGGCAGGGTGGCCAGGGGCACCGGCACCTGGGGGCTTCAGGGCCGCCTGGGGGCGGGTCTATGTGATGGAGAGGGCGGGGGATTCTGTGGGAAACAGCAAGTAAGCCAGGGCCAAAGGAGCATAACAGGAAGGCACAATTGGATCTAAGGCAGAGCTGTCCTCCAATGGGATGGGCCACCTCTGGCGGGGGCGTTTTGACCTGGAGGATGAGCAAGCAAAAGGTGAAGGGGTTTCTGCTACCGGAGGCAGCATGGTGTCCAGATTCATGAAGGACCCTCCAGGTCAGGGTGAGGGTCTGTGTGTGTGTGATTACAGCCTATACATCTATATGTACACGTGAGAACCTGTACACCTGTCTGCTTGCATTAGCGCGCGCGCGCGCGTGTGTGTGTGTGTGTGTGTGTGTGCGCGCGCGCGCGCGCGCGCGCGCGCGCGCATATGCACAAGCAAGAGAGAGGGGGAGAGTGTGAGACTGTCCTGATTGGCAATAACTGCAGGAAAAGGGTACAACTAAGAAATTTTTTTTTTTGCGAAATCTCAGTTTCTTTCACATTTCCAGAAAAAGATGGCAGGCAGTCACTTCTGTTCGCCAGGTTCCAGAGTGTGTACAGGGCCTCTGTGCCAGCTCCAGGCTGGGATTTGGGAGGGGTGGCTGTCACCTCTGGGGATTTCCTGGTAGGAGAACCCCAGCAGTCCGAACAGTGTGCAGAGGGCTGCCTGCTGGCCTTCCCAGGGGCGGTGGCAGACCCCAGGAGACGCATTCCTCTCTCCCCAGTGGGGTTGAGGATTAGGGCGGGGAGCAGCCCCCTTCACCTTGCTGTCCCCCTTCCCTGTCAGGCTGGCAGATCAAATGTCTGCCAAGTCTCTCACTGCGCCCTCAGGGACCCACGACACTGCCTGCCGCCTACATTCCTCAGCACCATGGCCCACACCTTTCCTGGCATGGAGGGAGCCAGGTAACCCTACAGTGCCAATTACTTACACGTACTCAGCACTTACTGAGCACCTGCTGTATGTCTGGCCCTGTGCTGGGTACATGGAAACAACTAAGGAGAAACATGGTCCCTGCTCTCAAGATAGTTACAACGCAGGGCAATTTGGGGTTCAAAAATAGAGAACTCGAGGAGTACAGAAGAAGGGTCCCTAGCTAAGCTGGGGGAGGCCAGGAAGGCCCTTAGGGGGAGACTTTTGAGTTGAGTCCCTCAGGTCCAGTGTCTGCCAGGAAGGCAAGAGAGAATGTGTCCTGGGAGCGGCAGCGCACATAGAGCACTACCGCACCTGTGGGCTGAGTGAGCTCTGAACCCTGGAGGGCCTGTCTGGGTGGGCCTTTGGGACAGTGGGGGTTAGTGTCAGGCTGAGGATGGAAGGGAAGCTGTGAGTTTGGCCTCAAGTGTGAGGGCCTCTGGGAGCACATTGGAAGCTATTCCCAGTGGGGAATGGGGTGGTCAGGCTTGCATTTTGGTAAACCTCACCCCCGTCCCATACCTTTGGGGCATGGTGGTTTATGAAGAGACAGAGGCCAGAAAGGAGGCCCCTGTCATGTCCTGGTGCAAGGAAGGTGGCATCCGTGTGGCCTGGAGGGTGAGGGGCAAGGAGAAGGGGTCACACTGATGAGAGATTTAGAAAGTAGCAGGATTGTAGTGACTGCAGGCATGGGAGGGGTTGAGGTGCTCCTGAGTCTCTGCCTTGGTGGCATAGACAGGACTGGGCTGGGGGGAGTGTGGGGGATGCGTCTGAGCTCAGGCTGGGCTTGTTTGCTGCATTTGAGGAGCCTTCGGTTTCTTGGAGGGAAGA